TTTTGGTATATTGACTTCTTTTGACGAGTTCTACAAGCTGTTAAAATAAATGACTCAACTTTGAAAACACCCTGTATAGGTAATTATAACAATTCGGTTGGTTTCTGTTGTTCTTTTATTGTGAGATAAACATTTTAAACACAAAATAGCACTGAAAAACTAGTTTTAGTTTCCTAGGTAAATTAAAGTAATTTATTTCTCAAATAACACATGCAGCATATTCAGTGCAGCTTGAAGCATTAAGTAACTCACAGATTGTCGCGTATAAAATGCAAGGAATAATTCGTAAGTCACCACAAATAAATACCCTTAATATCAATATTTAAAATGAGAAACCACCAATACAGAGCTTTGAGGTAATCGAAAAGTTGCAATGAAATTTGATGATCTGAAACCATTACAATCTCCTTAAATTACTGTGTTTTATAGGTAACTCCATAAAAAAATAAATCAAGTAAGAAAAGCCATTGAACTTTGAAATAAAAATGTTATAATCCATGTTATGAGCTTCGGATTAATTATAATAGTTAACATTGATGTTATAGTTATTGGCAATAGCAATGGAAACACTTTAACAAAATAAATTCAAATTTGGAAATTCTGAAAATGAAAAATGGCTAATCCCCCTACGAAATTACACCCTTATTTTCCCAAAATAATTTCGCTGATGAATTCAAATTGAAAAACGGTTTATTTGATACCCAATCTTCATATTTTTATTTAAAGTTTATCCATGGATGTGCCTTTTCATTTGTTAGTGTTATCTCTTTAAGTAGCTAACCCTGTAATCCACAATAAGGTCGTATATAATTCAATATCTTGAAAAAATAAGTTGCAGAGATTCTATACATTTTTTAAAATATTTTTGGTCACTTAAATCTTGTATGACTGAAACTAAATGACCGTAAACGTGGTATAATAGTTATTTACGATATAAGTGGGATAAGAGCTTTATTAACGTACGCATGCGAAATTTGCACGAGTGCTAGGCACTACTCATTTATTGTTATGCGGTTTAAGAGATGCATCAGATAAACACATCATATAAATACTTATATTAAAAAAGTAAGATATATTTCATAATTCATTAATCGTCAACTTAAAATTAATTGAGCTGTCTGCAGGCATCTGGTGCGGCACCCCATAAAATAAATGGAGAATTTATAAATGGTGATAACGATAAAAATAATATTTGTTGATGTTTCCTGTAAAGCTCTTCTAGGTGGAAGATGCAAACATATTGTTGCATTTTTAATTCAGGTTGTATTATTCAAATTATAAATAGTTTTTGGTTTTTAATGCATCTTTAACATATTGTATCCTAATAACGATGGGTAAATTTAAAATTATTTTACAAATTTTCAGGCATGTTGAATTACCTAAACTAAGAGAAGAAAGATTTTTTTAGGAACTTCTTTTTATTCTATGCTCCAAATTTATGTCCATAGGTACCTAATGTAAACAATATGAACATTTAATACAGGTTATATATCCTAAATATCCGGTTCCTGGAATAATCACCAGATAGAGTCGTCCTAATAAATGAAGTGCCATGGAAGTTGTTAGAAATAAAATGACCCTCTAAGGTATATGTGTATTTATCATAAAATTTAAAACACATCCAGTTAAGATTAAATATAGCTTTTTAAAAAAAAAATATTTCTTTTAGGTTGACGTAGTCTTTTTAATAATTGAAGGTGTATTTTTAACCATAAAAATATATCAATATTATGGGCAAATTTAATTAGTAATGGCAATGTTGAATGTGGCTGAATGTGATTTCATAGTTTATGCTCCATTCTACAAAACGTTTTTAAAATGTAATTGTCCCATTAGACATTGAATTTTCTCAACTACTTTAATTTTCTACTTTTTCTGAAATATGGAAAGGCTTTGTTTTGTAGATGTGCTTAAAAACATTGTCTTTAGCGCAACACTCCCAGATGGCAAATTTTTCCTTTTTGTATCTGGAAAATATTCATATTAAAATAGGGATCACAATTATAGGTATTGAAAAACATATTTTCTTACAAGTAAGCTTACCTTTGTTATAGAAATAATAATCTCTTTCGGTGAAATGCAAATAATATATACTTCCATAACATTAGATAAGATGGATTCTATCCCATTTTTAGGTTAGAGTTCTCGCTTGTCTACATTCTAAAAATTACCCACTGTATCTATAATCGAAATTTGACTTATAACCAGTCTTGGAAAACGATGAGAATTTAAATATCTGCTTCGTTTTTTCTGTAAATTGCAACTGTAAGCACAACAAAATTGTTAGTTGCTTATTATTAAAAAAAAAAGATTTGTTAACACAAATCAAGAGTACGAGTTTCTCCCATGAGCTTACATACCTGCCTACCCATAGGTAGAAGTATTTTTTCAATTTTTGAATGGAGATATATGTATATGTTTTAAGTGCATCATCATGCTCTTTGTTCGATATTAATTTATTCTTGATGACTTTATTAATGTTGTTTTAATTAGGTACCTGAAAACCTCAAAGTGTAAGAATTGCATTATATCTCAATGCCTAGATCATGGCATAAAAAAATACTTCGAACATAAAACGCTGAATTGGGAAAGGATCTCAGTTAGGCATGCCGTTGACAAACTGTACTCACGCGTTTTATTTTTCAGGATTTTTCGGAAATCTATAAATATTATTTCGTATGAAAAAGTATTATTCCAATATGGGTAGGCCCAAAATTTGACGGATAATATTTTTTGCATTTTTAAAAGCAAGCTTTTACAAGTTTTATAGAAACCTGCCATAATACTGTCCTGTACGATATTTATAATTTTTATACTATCCTAAAAAATTGTATTCCAGTCGATTGCTAGAGCTGAAACGTGTTATATATCCAGACATTATGTACTTTATAAAGATAATAACACTCAAAAGTAGCTCAAACACAAATAAATATTAAATTTATTTACACAGGTGACACTAGAAATATAACATATCAAATTGTTAAGTTGCACTAACAATGGTCCCACTTTACGCTCACATGTCGCATCCTCAGGTTGCCAGATCAATGATTTAGTTGCAATTTGTCAGATATAAAATCCCACAGTCTATCTTAATTAATTTGTTACTTATTACGAAATACAAGTTCTTTTTAACACGCTTATATTAGCTTCACCTGTATGTATGTTTGTAACTCTCCTTTGGACTCAAGTGGCTTATTACTAGCAGTATATCCCAATAAGTCAAGTTCGTTCGTTGGCCGAGCGGTCTAAGGCGCAGGTTTTCAAATGCCTGACTCACCGATCGTGGGTTCTAATCCCCACGGCTGAAAACAAAATAATTTTTTTAGGCATTTTTTTTTAATAATTAATCGAACTAAATAGTAAAAAATAAATATAGCCTAAAAAAACTAACAAACACGCTTTTATAATACATCGAACTAAAAAGTGAAAAATAAATATATTTTTAAAAAAGAACTAAAAAATACGCTTATCAAACTAAAAAGTTAAAAATAATTTTTCAAATAACCTTAAAACAATAATAAATGAAAAATACTAGTATTATTGTGAAAAAAGCGTGGTGCGCTTTGTCCATATTTCTGGTACATCGGGCGCCCGACGCTTTTTTTTTTTTCACAATAATACTAGTATTTTCCATTTATTATTGTTTTAAGCTTATTTGAAAAATTATTTTTAACTTTTTAGTTTGATATGCTCTAAAAGCGTGTTTTTTAGTTTTTTTTAAACTATATTTTTATGTGCTTAAAATTCATATAAAAAATCTGTGACATATTACTTATATTCTATCAATTCCTGCTCTGTAATTGGGTTTATAACCTGTAGACTATTATATTATAAATATGAAGACTAGAGATAATTATAAATAAATAAATTATGCGAAACGTCAATGTGAAGTTTGTCAAAAAGGTTACGATCAACAATCGACTTCATCTTACGGAAACAAAGCAAATGTTTATAGACCGATCAATATAGACATTTCAAATAACAAAAAATCCGACAGAGCTAAATTTTCGTAGAGACCTTGGGTACACCAGTAGAAATAAAGTGCCAAAAGTCCCCATTGATCCCATGAGTGTTAAAAAAGTTATTCATAGTCAAAATCAAAATTTTCTTCATCGATATCACACGAATCTTCGTCTATAACATTCGAGCAAGACTGGCCTTGGCAATTAGTACATGCTGCTGAACACGAGAACCCTACTCTTCTACAGCCACATTTAGCACTATAACCTTTTTTACAATTCCAAAAAATAGTGTTTAGCAGTTTTTCCGGAGCAGGTGGGAGGCTAGTTTGAATCGGTTTCAAAATATTTTCTGTTAATTTCCAACTTCAGTCTTCGGGATTTAGTTGATTGCCTAGCCATGTCTAAACTTGATAGAATGCTCGATACAAGTGTTGATGAACAGAAGCCGATGTTGGAGAAAGACAAGATGGTTGTACTTGTATCTTGTTCCGTGTATTTTTCACAAAATTTAAATATCTATACTTGTATATACAATCAATTTTCTTTGGAGCTCCATAAACAGCAAGGAGAAAGCGAATTTCTTTTGTTATAATTGTTTGAGGAGAAGAGTCAATATCTTCTAATACTCTAGCGCAATCAGTTAAATCCATTTTTTCAAATAATTTTAATACTGATGTTTTACTCCTTCTGAACATTGCTGACGTAGTGTCGCAGCCGGTTATCGCATGTAAAAATAAAATATGGTTTTGGCATTTTGGATAAGTAGATACACTTTTTGAAGAGTATATTTCTGTTCGCTGTTGGGCCTTTCCAGGTTTTATAAAGTAAATAATTTTATCAATTGGAGTCCGTGCAGTAAGTAGTACTAACAAATCAATATCTTCACCAACCACAACAGTTGTGTTTGTTGCATTGAGTTGTACAATTGCTGTTTAAATTATGAGGACATCAGCGTCATTTTGAGCTTGTTTAACTGCGATATTTTCAGTGGTTAGCTTGTCACTTAACAAGGAAATTAAACGAGATGTATTATGAATGTTAGCAAGAAATTGTTGTTGGTTTGCTGAAACTAGGATCAAAGATGATGTCGGAACATGAAGATGTTTTCGTAATGCGACTACATTGTTCTGCAGCTTTAATGTTTTTTGTCGACTCACTGTAGCCATCAAATACTATCGTCACTCTATGACCATAGATAATATAAGTGGCGTTTGTAGTATCAACTTCAGCATTGACTGATTTAAAGCAATTGTAAATGGCTGACTTTGGTGTTTTGCGCATTACAAGTGCATTGAAGAGTGAGAACGGGTAAGAGGTTAATTCATACTCAAAACATTTTTCAATTTTATCCTCGAACGTCTTAGTGATACTCATGTGTTGAAATAATAATACAGGGCCTATAGGTACTTTCTTTTCGTGAACTTTAACGGTGCTACGCACGGCTAAACGAGGGATTACTTTTTCAGTGTGTTTTAATTTAATATTATTAAACGTTTGACATATCATTTTGAACATGGAAGCAATCCCAACTTTACGTGCTTTATGTCAATTAATGTTATGACCACCGATGAATTCACTAGTAATAGATAAGATTTGGTTAATTTTGGGATTATGTGATGAAAACCACTCAGGAAGTTTATTAATATCTTTAGCATCTTTCTTTACTCGAGAATCACTTGCATCTACGTGTTGAGCAGTTGTATCCATTCGAACATTAGCAAGAACTTCCAATTCTTCACACACAGGATTCATAGCATGCATTTCATAAATATATTTGCTTAGTACACTTTCTTTCATGCTTCTGTCCCGAGAAATACCTCCATCTGTCTTCATCGATTTCATCATAGATTGTTCGATTATCAGAGTCTTAAAAGGGATTTAAATAAGGGTAGCCGGGTAACCGGGCAGCACAGGTATAATTATTAAAATCAACACACCTTATAACTGCCGGCTGTTTAAAATCATATATTTTGTTTGAGCCACCTGTGCTGTAAAACACCCATAAAATTTTGATTTATTACTCTATGTTGATTGCGATTCTACTATAAGGGACTTATGTGAGTTTCTTTTGAGTGTATATTCTCAGAATTGTATGACTTAAACATATAAGAGATACAAATAGGCATTTTTACTTATATTAAGTGCCTGACTATGTATATACGTGGTATTTGTCTGCATATCATGTAGAATGTAACTCCTTCAACTTTTAGAATGGCAAAATCTTAGGAATGGTGATTCTTAGAAAAAAAAAGTATAAGAAAAATTTTTGTAGAAATGTTTTGATATATAATTTTTGTCTAGGCTATATTTTTGATAGAACTTACCGTTTTCGAGAAAAATCTAAAAATACGAAAATTTTTACCTTGAATAACTTTTGGCACTTTATTTCTACTGGTGTACCCAAGGTCTCTACCAAAATTTAACTCTGTCGGAATTTTTGTTATTTGATCACTAATTTTATGTCTAAATTGACCGGGGTATTATAAAAGTTTTCTTTATATTGTTAAATAATCTTTCTAAATACCGCTCGACGTGCGAAGTTCTTCCTTACAAATTATGCAAATGTCCAAAAAAATTCTCTTGTGGTATTACCAGTGGAAATTCTTTACTTCTAACTCTGTTGTTTATATTTCAGTATATTTAAGTATCTATGTCAGCAAAAGACAATAAATTCCACTAAAATCGTTTGGGGAAACAAAGTTAGAAATCAACGTCGCCGTTTAATAGATCGATTTACAGTCTGTTCGGAAGTTTCGAGTGTTTGTCTTCAGCCGAATTGTATTTGACCTTTGTTGACCAAATTCGAATTAATTGCCAGCCAAACGGATGGATCAATATCAAATTGGGGTTGGCACGTGAACACTTTTGAGAAGAATGAATCAAAGAATGTTTATGAGAAAACTTTGAGTTAATAAAGAAAAATTTTCGAAGTAATTTGATCCTGTTTTTTGGGGAAAATAGAAATTTTAATATAATGGAGAGATGAGTACGGACAGTGACGGATATCAAGGGGAAATTAATTTGATTGAAATGTTATGGGATGATGGAGTGTAAAGTTCACAAAATAACTCCAATGTACCGTAATTATTTTTCAAGAATTATTGATGCATATCAGATTGTTTTAATGAATATTTTTAAAACATTGGAATTAAATTGGCTTCAAAAATTGATAAAATATATTCTAGTCACTATCCATACTTTTTAAAGTATTTTTTTCTAAAACCTACCACTGAAAAAGAAATGATTATTACTTGCCTTACTTTAAAGAGCAATAAACCTTTTGGTCGTGATTTAAAATTTCAAAATAGATTTGTGACTAAAAAATTTAAAAATGCCTACCTATATCAAACTGTTTTTAAAGAAGACAAAATTACCAACAATTTATTAAAAGTGAGTAAATGGAGATCAAAGCACTTTACCTATGTCTACTAGACGTAACATTCTAATCTTTAGGTATAGATATTGACACCGAAAACGAATAATTTTAAGGAATAAGCTACTTTGACATGCACAGAAATGATATTAAAATAAATATATACGAAGACCGGTTGTTTTGTTATTATCAAAAGTGAATAAATGAAGATCAAAGCATTTTACCTGAATCTACTAGACGAAACTGTCTAATCTTTAGGTGTTGATAGGACACCGAAAATGAATAATTTTAAGGAATAGGCAACTTTAGCACGAACAAAAATGATTTGAAATTAATAATAAACGAAAGAAGGTTGTTTTAAACATTTGTGGGTTAGGCAACTCTGGCTATGAGCCACTAAATTTATCTTAATTACTTATTTTCTATATCAGTACTATTTATATTTCAAAAAATCTGATGTGTCCAACACATGACTTTCCTATCTAGTTATTATAGACTTTTTCCGGTTATTTTGTACAACCTATTGCTGCACCTCTATAAATGTTTAGAGGATAAACTAAATATATACATTCTTTACATACATCTACCTCGAAATATTTTTATATAGATTTTCATTGAAAACGAAAATACTAAAAAATTTAAATTTAGCACTTTTCAGACAATTTTTCCATGTATAAACAAAAATTAAAGAGATCGATATCGCAAACAACTTTTAGTTCAACAATTTTCATAAAAATCAGAATTTTGCACATTTTGTCAAATTTCTCGAATACGGGCCATTTAAGGAAAATTTTGTATTTTACAAAAATTATAGATAATATTATTAGAAGTAACTTTTATTTGATAAATTTTCTTCTCCAAACGTAAATAACAGATATATTCTATAAAATATAAAAAAGACCACCTATAAAGTACGCCCCCAGATGTTCCGACTCTGCCCAAAATATAATCAGTTCATTGGATGTTGGAATAAAAGCTTAAGTTTAAAATTTGGTGTTTTTCTGTAAATCAGTTCATGATTTATGGTGGATACAGACACACCACAAACACCACACACCACACACACACCACACACACACACCACACACACCACACACACCACACACACCACACACACCACACACACCACACACACCACACACACCACACACACCACACACACCACACACACCACACACACCACACACACCACACACACCACACACACCACACACACCACACACACCACACACACCACACACACCACACACACCACACACACCACACACACCACACACACCACACACACCACACACACCACACACACCACACACACCACACACACCACACACACCACACACACCACACACACCACACACACCACACACACCACACACACCACACACACCACACACACCACACACACCACACACACCACACACACCACACACACCACACACACCACACACACCACACACACCACACACACCACACACACCACACACACCACACACACCACACACACCACACACACCACACACACCACACACACCACACACACCACACACACCACACACACCACACACACCACACACACCACACACACCACACACACCACACACACCACACACACCACACACACCACACACACCACACACACCACACACACCACACACACCACACACACCACACACACCACACACACCACACACACCACACACACCACACACACCACACACACCACACACACCACACACACCACACACACCACACACACCACACACACCACACACACCACACACACCACACACACCACACACACCACACACACCACACACACCACACACACCACACACACCACACACACCACACACACCACACACACCACACACACCACACACACCACACACACCACACACACCACACACACCACACACACCACACACACCACACACACCACACACACCACACACACCACACACACCACACACACCACACACACCACACACACACACACACACCACACACACCACACACACCACACACACCACACACACCACACACACCACACACACCACACACACCACACACACCACACACACCACACACACCACACACACCACACACACCACACACACCACACACACCACACACACCACACACACCACACACACCACACACACCACACACACCACACACACCACACACACCACACACACCACACACACCACACACACCACACACACCACACACACCACACACACCACACACACCACACACACCACACACACCACACACACCACACACACCACACACACCACACACACCACACACACCACACACACCACACACACCACACACACCACACACACCACACACACCACACACACACCACACCACACACACCACACACACCACACACACCACACACACCACACACACCACACACACCACACACACACCACACACACCACACACACCACACACACCACACACACCACACACACCACACACACCACACACACCACACACACCACACACACCACACACACCACACACACCACACACACCACACACACCACACACACCACACACACCACACACACCACACACACCACACACACCACACACACCACACACACCACACACACCACACACACCACACACACCACACACACCACACACACCACACACACCACACACACCACACACACCACACACACCACACACACCACACACACCACACACACCACACACACCACACACACCACACACACCACACACACCACACACACCACACACACCACACACACCACACACACCACACACACCACACACACCACACACACCACCACACACACCACACACACCACACACACCACACACACCACACACACCACACACACCACACACACCACACACACCACACACACCACACACACCACACACACCACACACACCACACACACCACACACACCACACACACCACACACACCACACACACCACACACACCACACACACCACACACACCACACACACCACACACACCACACACACCACACACACCACACACACCACACACACCACACACACCACACACACCACACACACCACACACACCACACACACCACACACACCACACACACCACAC